GTAGTTTATCACCATACCCAGAATGGGGATATAGTTTATCATCATACCCAGGACGTTAAGAAGGGAAGAGGACTTGGAGAATTTAACACTCATAGAACATATGGAATGTAAAAGAAGCGGTGGGAAAACAAGTAACCTATGTCATGATTTTGAATAAATAGACTACTGGATAGTGACAAGGAGTCAAAAGTTACTTAGAGCAAGAAAAGACAGGCAGTTGGGAGAAGCCATGTCCACTCAGATGCTGAAAACATTGGTACATGGATTGATTCTTTAAACCTTCTATTAAGTCTATTAATTTTTTTTTTTCAACCTATCAACTTTTTGCAGGTTATTTAAATCCAGAAAATATTTTTACATTTTAATAAAGTTTTGGAGATAATAATGATTTACTGATAAAAGTCTTATTAATTAAGCCATACTTGAGAAGAGGTGGACTCATACCTTTCCGAAGATTTTGGTGCATTAGTGAATATAAAGAATCTGACATAGAATTGGAACTCTGTTTTCCAGGTAACAATTCTGATGCATTATCCATTACATCCCCAAATTTTCCCAAGTGGTTACCCATCTAGCTACGGACCAAGCTCAACATTGCTTAACTTCAGTGATCTTGCAAAATCCAGTGTTGCAGTGTGTTATGGCTGTAAGCCACTCATCCAGTCAAAAATGGGTAACTCTTAAAGATTCCTAGTTTTGATAAGTACCTAAGCAAGCATTGTGAAATAAATTTCCAGTCTTCTAGAGTATTTTCCTTTGTTTTTTTCCTTCTTTCTTGTCTTTCTTTTTTCCTCTTTTGGCTGTGACTGAAATCGGCTCACTGTAAGAACCTTGACAGAAACCTTTCCAAAAAAGGCCTCCAGGGAATCAAAAACTTTTGAAGGTCTTCCACTTGTTTGCCTGCAGTAGTTCTGTTGCCAAGACTTTTACATAATGGTTTATATGTATTTTCTGTACATGCTCTTTCAAAAGGTCTAAAAGACAATAGCAAAAAATAAAAATATATGCAATTTGCAACTAATTAAACTACTAGTTTATCTCTATCAGAATTCTAAAATCGCCACGCATCCATGCTGCTTAAAGGTCATCAGTAATATCTATTAATTCTTCTATGAAGTATAGTTTCTATAATACTTTTAGTTGTTTGCATTCAGAAGGTATGCTGGAGTAATGGATAGCAGCTCGGATTGGAGAATCAGAGAGCCGAGTTCGAATTCCAGTCAAATCCATTACATTCACTTATGTGCTAATACTCTTGGGAAAGGTATGAATCTTCTTCTTCTTCAGTTATGGGTACATAGCAGGAGAGACTAGGTTCTATAGCCTTGGATAGCAACTGGTCTACTGCAGAAAGAAATGGCAACCTACTGCAGGAAAAAATCTGCCTCAGTCATGCATCAAAAGACATATGATCGCCTAAGCATGTATCACACATGGCATATAACTGACTGTTTGCATTCTGAGATAAAGTATTATTAATTTTTGAATAGTTCCTTCCATCTCATTGTTGTTTTTTTTATTGTCTCATTGTAAGTTATATCTTTTATTCATATCTCACAGTGCTGGTTTTAATCTGGAATTTAACACATTGCACCTTCTCAGACTATCATTTTCAGCTTACATGAAGTGGAAATATTATATTGAAATTATTGCTAAGTTAGTTCCTAAGAATGTTGGTTCACTGTGTCATGTGAAACAATTTTTCTCTCCAGAATCTATCATACATATCTATGTCTACCATTCACCCATGCTTATGATATTGTTGCCACATATGATTCATTATTCCTTCTATTTATCTAGAAATCCTTGATAAAATACAAAGAATAATCGGCAATATTATTGGTCCTAGTCTGGCAGCTCGGCTTGAGTCACTTTTCCACTGCAGTGAGGTTGCTTCCCTGTGCTTTTTCTATAAATGCTTTCATGGTAATTTTTTGAATGAGCTCTTCACTATGGTACCTGGACTTTAAGTGCTGTGCTAGACTGGCGATAAGGTCTCACAAATTTATATTTAAATTGGTTAGATTCTATGCTAACAGATTATTATCTTGCAACGAGCCAGTTTTATGCATTGTGAGATGAACATGTGTGGTCTTTTGATAGCCCACCAATAGAAATGTAAAACGGAAATGTGAATAAAACAACAAAGACAGGTATATATATATATATATATATATATATATATATATATATATATATATATATAAAAACATATAATAAGGGTTACAACTGACAAAGATGATTGTGTGTGTGTATGATTGAACATAGAAAGTTTGTGGTCAAAGTATGTGTAGTGAATGTTCATACATACATGTGTGTTTCCCAAAGGAAACACATAGCGCCCCCACCCCCAGGGTATAATGAAATCTTCATAAGAGATTTACATATTGTCATATCAGCTCAAAAGTGAGAAGAAAGCGAAAGAGGTAAGGTATTGCCGAGTTTATATAGAATTTGAAAAGCGTCCCCTAGTAGCAATTTCAGGAATTAAGGAATTAGGAGGAGGTAACCCAACAAGGGTGGTAACCTGACAAGAATAACCTAACATTCTCACACTTCTCATTTGTTGAACTCCTTTCTGGCTCGATGCTTTCCAGCCAACTTTAATCTTTAAAAATTTAAATGCAATGTCAATCACTATCTGCTATCCTCCTGATGACTCTTTTTGTTCTTGCTCATTAGTAATGTTTCTGTTTCTAACTCTTCCACACCAAGTAATCCCTTGAGTCTTAGGGGATTTACTGCCTTGCTTGGGGTGAACTTGATTAATTAAAAAAATAATTTCACCCCAAGCAAGGGGATAGGGCCACTAAGACTGAAGGGGGTTACTGAAAGTGGAAGAATCTGTGAAAACAAAAAGATAGAAGATTCTGATTGAAGGATGTTGAAGATACAATGGACATGTAAGCAATGGCAAATTTTGTTGAAATTTCTAAGGGCACATAATGAGGAAAGAGGGATTAGAGAGAGGGACAGAGGAAAACAATGCATAACAAAACTTGAGTAAATGAGGGTTTAGGAAAAATAATAGCCCAAAATCTATTAACAGTTACAAAGAACAGGAAGTTGTGGATAGCCATGATCACCTACATCTTGAGTGGACACAGCACATAAAGAAAGACAACACATTCCAAAATATGTTGCCATTTTAGTGTTTCCAAGTTTACTCAAATCTTTCATATGCCTTGCCTTATCAGGACATGGGTGATCATGGCTCTCCACGACTTCCTGTTTTTTTTTTGTTGTTCAGAGTAATTATTTGCTCTTTACCACTTCTCTTTGTCTTTAGGGTCTTTGTTCTGTCATCTAAATACTTGGACATATCAAGTGGTTTTACATACTGTTTCCCTTTGCTTTTCTGGCCTTCCATATGTCCTATGTGTGCCAACCGTTTTTTCTTTATTATGAATCCAAAAAATTCCAGCTGTCTCTTCAAGCAACAGTTTCTTCTTAGTTTTTGTTCTTAAAACTTCTCCATTATTTACATACTCTGTCCATATCAAAATGAGACATGCAAATACCATCAGTTTATTTGTTGATACAAATGTCAAATAGTTTTTCATTTGTATCTGTGTGTGTTGGTAAAGTCTCCTTCTTTCATGAATGTAAATTTTTAATACACCAGATTATGTTTATGTGGATCACTTATATGTGTATCAGCAATAACAACCATAAACTCAGTTGAAGACAATATAAATCCTGTATTTATTTTAAACATTGAAAGTGAATCTCTATCTATAAAAGGCAGGATGTGTGTGTGTGTGTGTGTGTGTAAGAATGCACGGCCGCAATTTTCAACAGATTTGCACAAAAATTTACATTCACATGCTCCAAGTTATCAGGAAGGCCAAGACTGACTTTGCATTTCCCAACTCCCATCGACAATGAAAATAATCAATTTTTTCATGCTTCTACGGCAGTTTTTATGTAGTTTGCAGCCATTTTGTACTGGCCAGAGTGAGAGCCTATAGCTGGCTGCCACGAATAGGCAGGAAGATTCTATTGGCCAGTGTGAGAGCCAATAACTGACTGACATGAATGTTAACTAGTATGCTAGCATGCAAAAAAAATTGATAGCTGCATTCGTCACAAGTGGGAAAAATTTAAATCTGCATGGCACTTTACTCCAATTGACTCATTCGCTTGCTTTAAGTCAACATTGATTCTGATTCTGCAGAACTGGGTTGAGTGTGAAAAAGTATTTGTTGTTAACATTCTTTTTTCATTTGGTTTTTCCAGTTACAAGTCCTTTTTTAAAGCTGATTGTTTTGTGTTCATTTTGTTTAGTTCTTTTTTCGTAACAGATTTAATGTTTAGTATAAAGCTTAGAAAAAATTCACAGTGTGATATAGGCAAGAAGTAAGGCATGTAGCAACATCAGCACGGCAGAGGGCATTCCTTTAAAGGCAAGGAAGGGCAAAAATATTTTAAGTCAAGCGATAGCGATTGCTGTATGAGTCATACAATTTTGGAATGAAGCACGGGCAACACCAGGCCATGCTGCTAGTAAAATATAAGATTTGAATAGACATGAGGAAGAGTTCAACAATGTCAAAAATCAGTAATCATTAAAGCTGTGAAATATACAAAATTTTCACTGAAGACTGGATAACTCAGTTTTGTTAACAAAATTTATAGAAAAACAATCTTCTTCAAATTGGCCATAAAAATTAAGAATTACTTCTAACTTTGGTTAAATATATATTTTTTTCAATTTTTTTCTTAACAATTCAAGAGGAGAAAAACACTAACATTTTTCAATGATTTTATCCTTCAATTTTTCTAAGCAATATCGTCTGCAAGTGACAGAATATGTAGCAACCATTTTCGAAGAAAAATCGAAATTTGATAATTTAAATGTCAATGTCTCCAGAACCTCATTTTGCATGAAAATAAATGACAATTTCATTTCTGTTGGAAAAATACAGATTTGTCACAACCTTTTCTTTTTTCTGTCATGACTGGTCTTTCTTTAGATTTTATTCATACTTTCAAATAGTATGTTTTTCTGCTTTGCTATTTCTTTTATCTATTTATTCATGCCTGCTACCACTTTGTTCTGCAGGATTCTTTGTTATTTTATCTCTGCACAATTCTCATTTGAATATCTATCTCTATCTATAAAAGGCAGGATGTGTGTGTGTGTAACGAATGCACGGCCACAATTTTCAACAGATTTTCACCAAAATTTACATGCATATGCTCCAAGTTAGTAGCAAGGCCAAGACCTACTTTGCATTTCCCAACTTCCATCGATAGTGGAAATAATCAATTTTTTCATGTTTCTATGGCAGTTTTCACGTAGTTTGAGGCCATTTTGTACTGGCCAGAGTGAGAGCCTATAGCTGGCTGCCACGAATAGGCAGGAAGATTATATTGGCCAGTGTGAGAGCCAACAGCTGACTGACACGAATGTTAACTAGCATGCAAAAAAAATCAATAGCTGCATTCATCACAAGTGGGAAAAATTTAAATCTGCATGGCACTTTACTCCAATTGGCTCATTTGCTTGCTTAAACTCAACATTGATTCTGATTCCGCAGAACTGTGTTGGGTGTGAAAAAGTATTTGTTGTTAACATTCTTTTTTCATTCGGTTTTTCCAGTTCGGCAAGAAGTAAGGCATGTAGCAACATCAGCATGGCAAATGGCACTCCTTTAAAGGCAAGGAAGGGCAAAAATATTTAAGTCAAGTGATAGCGATTGCTGTATGAGTCGTACGATTTTTGAATCAAGCATGGGCAATGCCGGGCCATGCTGCTAGTCTTTTGCTAAAATTTCTTTTTTATTATTGTGTTTAAACTAAAATATTTAACACCAATTCTTATCATTACCTGCAGTCTTTGTTTCATTAGATCAAGAATTTCACCAATCATCTATTTCTTTTCTTGTCATTATTTCTTTTGGTATGATTTCTTTCATTGTTTTCACTAATGTCTCTCTTAATGTGTCCATTTTGAATTCATGAACTCTTCTGAAGTTTCATGTTTATTCATAAATGCAACTGCATATGTTGATTTGCAAATGGAGTGTGCCATATTGCAATTCAGGCTTTACTTTTGACTGTACCTAAGTTTGCATCTGCATCTGACTTGTCACTCCTACACTCAGTGCCTGGATATGTTTTAGTCTGTAAAACTGCATCTCTAAATCATTTCTTGATATTTAGGTAGTTTATGCATTTTTTAATGTCCCCTGTATCTTGGGTAATTTATCCCAATAGGCACTCATGGCATGTGGACTTGCTGAAATTCTGAGATAAGAAGATAAATTGCAAGGTTATCAGCCCAAAATTACAAATCAGGGATACTGAAGTGAAACAAGTACAAAAATTTGTATATGTGGGAAGTGTTCTAACAGATGATGGAAAGTATGTCACTGAGATCTGAAGAGACAAAGATGCATTCCAAAAGCTAAGCAGAGTATTAACAGACAGAAAAATTTCGTTAGAAGCCTAGAAAAGAATGCTGAACTGTTACATATCAGTCCTTCTATATGACAGTGAATGCTGGACAATCTCTTCAAAGATGAAGAAGAGACTTAAACCAACAGAAATGTAGTTCTATAGAAAGATGATGAGGATACCATGGACCGAACATGTGAGCAATGACAAAGTTTTAGAGAAAATGGAAACAAAAAGGACACTTATACTTAACACCAGGAGGAGATAGCTGAAATTTCCAAAAATCTGATAATCTAAGGAAAGACTGAAAGGAAAAAGGGACCAAAGAAAGCAGTGTGTAACACACTTGATGAGCTAGAGTAAATGGATGGCAGAACAGGGTCTGGGAGAAATAACAAAAAGATAAGACTTATTAAGAGCTGCAGGGAACAGGAAGATGTGAAGGGCCACGTCCTGAAAGAACACAACAGATAAAAGATGTTTGCAGAATATTGTGAAAGGAGCTTCCATCATCTTGGATCTAAAGATGATGGAATTGGCTTTCATTTACAAAAGCAAAACTTTAACCTAAAACTTGAGGCATTTTCTTAAATAGATTCATCAGATCAAAACTTTCATATGGATGTCATGCATGGTGCAAAACCTGTTCAGAAATGTGTAAATTCTCTGCTTTATACAACTCAGATCAATGGTTAAAAATGGCTTTGAGTGAATGAAACTTGTATGTCTCATTAAAGACCATCTTTCTTCAAACTTTGTAGACTGGTGCTACTGAATCACAAACCAAAAAACTGTACCAAATAATAAAAACAACATCACTTGAGGACTACCAACAGCAGCAGCAATTAGGTAGCACATGTAGGAGATAAGAAACATGTTGGCACCCACATGACTTCAAACAAAAGGTTAGGAAGGAAAGCTCCATGAATGATGGAAAAAGCAATAACAGCTACTGAACTTAAGAAATCTATTTTCCTGAAAAATTGTTTTAATAGAAAGATTTTATAAATTTCAACCAACAATGGTACTGGCTGCTCAGTCAATGAATGCCAAATGTTTCCTTTGAAGGGAACAGAAAATATTATCATTACTTTTTATTTATTTGCTGAGGAGGGGTTGTAAAATGTAATGATGCCATAAATATGTTATTTGCAAAGTAATATCTTCTGAAAAAAGATTCACCCGCCACATGAAAATGGAAGGTCCTATGAAAGGAAAGTGTCATAAAAGAGGAGATAATCAGTTTCTTTTTCTAAGTGATGTAGTTTATGAAACTGAAAGGGACAGCAAAAGAAATAGAAATAATGAAGTGTATATTATTTATTTGAAATCTTTTTCATTGGGCTAAATCTGAAACTAAACTCTTTGATCTCTTTCTGTATGTTTTATTCCATCAGAATGTCATTGATCATAACATTCCACAGCTTGCTGTCTTTTGTTATTCTCACCTAGATTTTATCTTTTATGATCCCCACTTTCTCTTTGTGACACTTGTTCTTCCATGTATTTACACAAGCTTATCAACACCTTTTTTCAATAGGCAATGTTTCTTCAGGATGTAGGCAATCATGGTTCTCCACAGCTTTTGATACTTTCAGTAATACTTTACCTTTTAGGACCCCCTATGTTGTCTTTATAAGACTTGTTCATTTTTACATTTATTCAAATTTACCAAGTTAGTTACTACTTTATTTATGGGTAATCTCCCTTCAGTATGTTGGTCATCATGGTTCTCCAAAGTTTCTTATATATTTTTTTTTTGTTTTCATTTATATACTTTCTTTTTGGTATTTGTTCCTCCATCCAGTTTCAAAAACTTGTCATATAGGTTACTGACTACTTTCTTCATCTTCTTTTATGTTATGGGTGCTAAATTCTCCAAGTCTTCTTTCATCTTCTTGTTTCCCTATGCTATCCCTTTCTAAATTTTCTCCAAGTCTTCTTTCATCTTCTTGTTTCCCAAAATATTTATCCCTTTCTATTTCCCAAGTCTTCTTTTCATCTTTTTAGCTATCCCTTTCTCATTGTTATCAAGACTTTCTCCAAGTCTTCTTTCATCTTCTTGTTTCCCAAAATATTTAGCTATCCCTTTCTCATTGTTATCAAGACTTTCTCCAAGTCTTCTTTCATCTTCTTGTTTCCCAAAATATTTAGCTATCCCTTTCTCATTGTTATCAAGACTTTCTCCAAAATCTTCTTTCATCTTCTTGTTTCCCAAAAATATTTAGCTATCCCTTTCTCATTGTTATCAAGAAGTCTTTTTCATCTTTGTTTCCCTCTGTTATCAAGACTTTCTCCAAGTCTTCTTTCATCTTCTTGTTTCCCAAAATATTTAGCTATCCCTTTCTCATTGTTATCAAGACTTTCTCCAAGTCTTCTTTCATCTTCTTGTTTCCCAAAATATTTAGCTATCCCTTTCTCATTGTTATCAAGACTTTCTCCAAGTCTTCTTTCATCTTTTGTTTCCCAAAATCTATCCTTTCTCATTGTTATCAAGACTTTCTTCTTTTTTCATCTTCTTGTTTCCCAAAATATTTAGCTATCCCTTTCTCATTGTTATCAAGACTTTCTCCAAGTCTTCTTTCATCTTCTTGTTTCCCTAAATATTTAGCTGTCCCTTTCTCATTGTTATCAAGACTTTCTCAAGTCTTCTTTTTCTTTCATCTTCCCTTTCTTTCCTTTCAAAATATTTCCCAAAATATTTCCCTTTCTCATTGTTATCAAGACTTTCTCAAGTCTTCTTTCATCTTCTTGTTTCCCAAAATATTTAGCTATCCCTTTCTCATTGTTATCATTGTTATCAAGACTTCTTTCATCTTCTTGTTTCCCATGGTTTCTCATTGTTATCAAGACTTTCTCCAAGTCTTCTTTCATCTTCTTGTTTTCCTAAATATTTAGCTGTCCCTTTCTCATTGTTATTTTCTCCAAGATTTATACTGTTTTATATCAAGACTTTCTTTAAAAGATGATTGCATACATAAATTTATAAAAGTATAAAGTACTTTCTTCATCTTGACTACCATATTACATGGTACATAAGATTATACTTCTATTTACATTTAATTTTGCAGCTTTGTGCAGTGAGATAAGTTGCAAGTGCTGGTTGTCTATAGCATTTGCATGAACACTGACCTACCAAATTCTTCAACTTTGTAGTTTTATAGCTGTTTTGGTAAGAAAGGTAGGGTCATCAAATATGATAGTTTTAAATTTAGAATCTCATCTCACCATTGAATTCTTTGGAACACTTTTATAACTTGAGCCACACCAATGAGTGTCAGACCTACTTGATGCTCTATGGAATTGGCCAGCATCCTACAACACCAATTGACCAAACATTTCCATTGAGTGTCAGAAATTCTTTTGAATTCTTTAAGTCAATATCCTGCTGTTTTCTTATCAATTGTAAAGAGCAAAAGTGTTGCCTTTCTCAATCTCTCTTCTTCATTCTTCCCATTCTCTCTAGCATTCATTTGTTCTTTCTTTACTTGGTCTCTTCTTTCTTTTGTTATTTACTCAACCCATTACTCCTTCAATAACCTCTACCTCACTTTTTTCTTTCTCTCTCTCTTTCCTTCTTTCTTCTGCTTTGTCTCTTTTCTACTTTTCTCTGTCTTTTTTTAAGTTTTCTTTCATTCAGTTCTTATTGCTTTATTTTTTCTATTACTGTATATCACCTTCATCATCTCTATTTTATCTTGCCATATGTATTTTTTATTGATATTTCTGTTTCTCGATTTTTTATTTCTTTTTCTGACTTCTCTCTCTTTTCATAACATTTTCTTAGCTTTTGTTTTCTCTTTATTTTTATTTTTTCTCTCTCTCCCCACTTTTCTTCTCTCCTCTTCTTTCAATCTATATATGTATATATATATTGTGCTAATAATTTTTTAACAATTATTAGTACAATATATATATATATATATATATATATATATATACAGGAAGAAATATAGTTCTAAGGTGTACTATATTTATGGGATAAAGTGCTCAATATCAGAGATAGAGCATATGTAAATATAAAAGTGAGCATTGAAATCAACACTCAGAGGTGACAAGCTGTTTCATGCTAGACACAACTGTCAGTCTATGCTAGACATAATGGTCAGTAGCTTGATGATTGTATCTAGCATGAAGCAGCCTGTGACCTCTGAGTGTTGACTCCAATGCTCACTCACACACACACACACACACACACACACATATATATATATATATATATATATATATATATATATATATATAAATTAATTGATTTAAATTTTTTATTGATTTAAAATATGTTTCAAAAATGGAAGCTTTGTTGTTTTAGCTTCCATTTTTCAAAAATGGAAGCTGAAAATCAATTAATTTTAGCTTCCATTTTCGAAACACTATTTTGTAAAAATAAAAATATCTATAAAGAACACGAATTATATATTTTAAATAATATAATATATATATATATAATACATCATATATATATATTATATATATACATATACTATTTTGTAAAATATAAATATATATATATATATATATATATATATTATATATATATATATATTATATATTATACTTTTTACATACATACATACATATATATATATATATATATATATATATATATATATATATATATATATATATATATATATATATATATATATATATATATATATATATATATATATATATATATATATATATATATATATATATATATATATATATATATATATATATATATATATATATACATATATATATATATATATATATATATATATAGTAATTTTTAACAACAAATGTGTAGACAGATCCTTATATTTCAGGATATAGATCTAGCCTTGAATAGTGTTTCAAACTATATTCTGTGAAAATGAGGTATAAATGATTGTAAATCAAATAATATTCATGAGTTTAAAATGGAGAGGAAGTGGTCTAGACAGTTTCAGCTATTTAGGCATCTTTATCCATTATGAGTTCTCACATTTTCATTGCAATGAATTCCTATAAATGGATACAGCAAACAATGATTTGGGACAGTCTGTGTACACTTCAGATGACCAGACAAGTCTCCATCAGAAAGCCAATGTGGCACTTGACATTAAAGTTTCAAGTATTCAACAAAGGGTAAGGGGGAAGTCAGTAGATGAAAACTAACTTGATTCTTGACTCTGATGTATGCAACTTATATACACACACACTTAATGATGTTTCATTCAGTATCAATTCATAATAATATTGGTAAGAGGGGCTTATGGCCACATCATGTTGACAGACTTGCCCATTAAAATTACCAAAGTTAAGCAATGTTGAGCCAGGTCAGTACCTAAATGTGTGGCCATTTGGGAATATCAGGTGTTGCAAGCTTGTATTTGTGGGTGGTGTAATGAGTAATGGTTTGCAATTGTTAATCACAGAGTTAAGTTCCAATTCCTGTTGGATTTGTTACATTCACTTACTTGAAAATGCCTTTCAGAAAGGTATGAATCTACCTCTTCTCCCCACAGCTATGGGTTAATTAGTAAGACTTGTATCACTAAACCATTATTACCTCAAAAAAAATTTACAATCTAAAAATATTTTCCGGCTTTAAATAACCTAAAAAGTGTTGATAAGGCATAGAAAATGAATCAATTCTTGCCATTCTTCATTGACTATGAACAAATATGGTGAAATAAAAACAGATATAGTGGGTTAATTTATACACACTGAAGGTCATTCATTATTACTTTTTTACATTTTTTTCTCCTTTTTTACTTTATTTTTTGAGGGCAGTCAAAATGGGCAATGTAATTTCTTGCAATAATGTGAGGCAGAATTTGATAAAGTTTTTGTTTTTTCTTTATAAATATTTTATTATATGAAGACCACCTAGATATTTAACTGACCATTTGATCTTTGAGAAAATCGTCAGTTGCCCACCATAATGCAGTTTCCAGTGACTCAAGAGAAAAACTGCTATTTATATGACTGTGTGGTTAGAATGTTCATATTCTTGACCATGAGACTCGTGTTCAAATCTCACCATAGTCAATTTGTCAGGAAAGAGGCTTCCTGATGTTATGGAACAGGAGGTGTCAATACCAGCATGCACCACCTTTTAAAAGTGCATGAAAACCATAATACGGGTTGACCCAAGCCTTGTGAGTGAAATTGTGTAGATGGAACCCTTTGGAGCTGTCGATTGATGGCTTGAGCATGCTAGCCTTGTTCAAATAGTTGATCATGCTAGATAGCATGCTCTTTCCGGAAACTGTAATTAAGGTCTGCTCAGCATAGTTGCTGTATAAACCACATGTGGGCTCTGTGGGTGTTGAATAAACACAAATGCACCTGAGCAAGTGCCTGCAATACCCTAGTAAACAGGTATCCTTGACTACAAGTGGCCAGCTATACTACCCCCAGCAGTGCACATGATGCATCCCTTTCCTTGAAATATTTCATCAGGTTAGACTACAGAATAATAAATAAATTAATATACAATATCAAAAGACATAATACAAAAATGTTAAGCGAATGCTAGCAAACAAGGCAGTATTCAATATCACTTGATTTTGAATTCAGTGATAATAAAGAAAACTCCTTGAAATGATTTACAAATATTCCTTGATTTGTTTCCTGTTGTAATGATAACTAAATAATCAGTCCATATTTACTGTAATTCCCCATGTATAATACGCATTTTTTCCTGAAAAATAATAAGCAAAATTAGGGTTGCATATTATACACAGCTACAAAAATATCTTTAAAAAAATTGTCAATTTTAGTTATGAAATGACTACTCACCACAAACATATGAAAATTTGACACTAACTAACATTCAGCGATTGCAACCCCAGAAGGATGTCAAATATAATAATTTGTACCTAACAATACTTACAAATGTAAAATAAAATAAGAATTATTATAAAACTAAATTAGAATATTATTATTGTATGTTTAAAACCATTTTTTGTGAAAAACTGCATACAGTTCTGGTAGATTGCACATTTTATCAAACAAAAACAGGTTAATGAGTCTGTGCATTATGCACAATATAGGTATTTCCATTTCCTTTTAGAATCGTGATGATTGGAAATTTTGATAAATATCTTCAATTACAGCTTGAATAAGAATAGGAAACACTGGCCATAATGAAATTGGGGAGGTACAATTTATAGAGTATGATTACTAAACAAGTTGTGTGTATTATGCATGTATAGCAAAGAAAACAGCAACTTACCTCATCAAACAAAGCGACAGCGCGTCGCGTGTATTCTACAATGGAAAATGTGGTGAAAAAGAAAATTACTTACCAAACAAAAGGGCACGTATTCCACATGACATGCTGAAAATGGAATATTTGAATTAAAAAACAAGTCCATTGTAGGAGTCACTATAAAAGTATTTTGATATGCGAAATACTGAACATCCTCTCCCAGCTGTTGACAAATGGAAAAAATGCTCGGCCAATAAAAGCAGTTGGTGTTCTCGAATTGGCGGGAAAAAAGTTGACTATTTTGGCTGCCACATCTGTTGGAGAGTGAGTTATTTTTCTGACTGGTTGCGCACATTGTGATTTGTGAAATAGTACTTGCGAATTAAGTTTTCGGCATTTTCTTTCTGTCCCCGATGTTCGAGTCTGAACTTAGTGATTTATTCTCGGTGACGTGGAAATAATCTTCGACAAACATTTCCTTTGCAATCCCAGATCGCTTACAGCATGAATAGAAGCATTTTCACACACTTTCAGCATAATTTTAGGGGTGCAAGTTATAGATCAAGGTATATTATACATGGGGAATTATGGTAGCTATCATCACAATAGGAATAAATCAAGTTTGTATTCTCAAGGAGGTGCCTTTCTTTGAGTGTCTATTGAGAATCAAGTTCAGCCTAAACCTCAACTGGAACTCTTATATACAGACTATCACTAAAGATGCTGGTAAAATGGTTTGTTCTTTAGACCAATCAGTTTTTTTTATGGCTGTCTACATCTTTCTCACCCCTGTGGCTGATAGATATATTGAAACACCAGTTCTCGTACAACCATCAAAGTTAAGCAATGTCAAGCCTGATCAGTACTTAGATGGGTACCACTTGGAAATGCCAAAGTGGTGTAATGGAAAATGGATTGGATTGGAGAGCAAGAATTCAGCTGGATTCATGAATTTATTAATCCATCACTTCTCTCCCCCCAGCTATAGGTTAATTAGTAGTACTTGTATCAGTAAAATCATTATTATCTACCCCCCCAAAATTCTTACAATCAAATAATCTGGTTCCAAATAACATGCAAAAGGTTGGTAAGCCATGAAAAACAAATCTCTCCTGTCCGTTATTATTCTAATCAATGTTTAACTCTTTACTACTTCCATACACACAAATTTATGAGGCACATTAGTCACCATTTCTACCCTGCTTCTCTTGTCTTCAGTGTGTTTTGTGAGTATTAAGTTCTCTGAGATCCCTTTCCTCATTATCCTCTTTTCAGATACTACTATTAATAACACTAGAGATTATTTAGAAATAATATTTATTTTTAAGAAATCACTTTATATGAGCATACTTGTTTTTGGCTACTTAGAAGAATCAGTTTAAAATGAATTTATATAGCAAACTGAACCCCCTATTTTAAAAAATTTAATTAAAACAGT